ACGAGAAGCCACCCGAAGATGATGACGAATGCCGATCACGACCCCGTGCCCTTCAAGGCGGATGATGTTCTCGGCTCTGCTGAACCTGCCCTGGGCCCGAAGCTGCCGCGACTCGAGGGGGCCAACGTGTTCCGAGGTGATCTGCTCGAACGAGACGGTCCCAGAGTACATGTCCCCGAACGTCCGCTCGAAGTCCGAGACGGGGTGCCGGGTCCTCGCAAGAGGTGTGGACTTGGCCAAACCGCAAGACTCCTGACTGCATGCACTCGGATTTTTGTTGGCTTCCACGGGCGGCGGAAGGCAATCGGCAGCGCGCAGGCGCTCCGAAAGCCCGAGGGCGCGCGCCCGAGCTGCCACCGCCTCTGACACGCGGTAGCGCCACCGCTCTGCCTGCGAGCACGCCCGGCCGACGTCCAGCGGGCCCCAGGCGCGGCTCACCACGCCGAACCTCCCGCGTCGGCGTCCGTCGCCCCGCAGGCGTCGGTCGCCAGCGCCACGGGGTCGGGCTGGCGGCGGCAGTCCACGCAGCTGAACACTACGAGCGCGGCGGCGATGCGGAGCTCGGCCTCCGCGGCGCTCCACAAGCGGCGCCGCCGCCCGCCAGCCCAGGACGCGAGGCGGTAGGTCGCCGAGAAGATCGACAGCAGCTCGCGCCGCACCAGCGCGCCCCACGTGAAGTGGCCGAGGAGCACCCGCATCTCGTCGCCAGTGGCCGACCCGCGGTCAGCAACGTGCATCAAACTCAAGCGGATGCGCCACATGCGCCGGCGGCTGAGCCCGACGCGGCCCCTCGCCTCGTCGAACACCAGGCCCGCGAAGGTGGCCTCCGCGCACGGGCCTTCGAGCCCCTTGCATCTCAGGCCAACGGCCTCCAGCGACTCCCGCGCCCGCTGCGCCGCCCCCATGGTCTCCGCGTAGTCGAGGTCGATGACGGCGGCCCCGTCGACGTAGACAGCCGCGGCGGGCCCCTCCTCAAGCGAAGTGGTGGGATGCCGGTCACGAGCCAGCCGCTCCCACTCCAGCCCGCCGCGGAGGACCTGCGTCTCCACCATCTGCTGGCAGGGAAAGAGACTCCAATTCCAGCCCATGGCTAAGACGACCAGCCGTGGCGACGCCTTCCGCCAAGCCGGCAGCTGGGCGGACAAGTCGGGCCGCTCGGCCCGCAGCACGTCGAGGTCGACCGCGGGGAGCACGAAGTGGTCGCGAAGCCCGGGCGGCGTGGCGACCCTGTAGAACGCGTTGTCCACGTCCATATGGGCCAAATGGAGGGACTTCCCCTCCGTCACGGCCAGGCTGCTCCACGCCCCCGCAGTCGGGAGCTCCGAGTGCGCGGGAGGTCGAAACCGCATGTTCGCCACCCGCGTGTCCGCGATCATGCGGAGGGACCGCTTGTCGCTCTTGAAAACAAAGTAGATGCCCACCGTAGCCTCGGTCCGCTCGCCGAGGTCGATCAGGCCCCTGACGAGCAGCCCCCCAATGAAGCGAGAGCACGTCTTCTTGCAATGCACTAATTTCGGATCGGAGAAAGGTCGAAGTCGAGGTCCGTCAGGTGGCCCCCCTTCGCGTAGAAGATGCTTCTGCCATCCTACCCACAGCTCAAGAGCACGACCAGTCAAGCAGTCGGCGCCAACGCACTGGCCGCCCATGGTCGGCAGGGAGACCAGCCCCTCGGAGTAGGAGGCTCGGCGCACGGTGTCTTCTGCATACCCCGGCAAGTGAGAGCACAGCTCGGCGTGAGCTGCCGCCCCTGAAATAGGTGGAGGCCCCGCCTCCTGGATGATCTCGCGGACGTGGTCAATGCCCGCGAGCTGCGCGCACGAAGCCTGGAGATCCTGTCGTGGCTCTCCATGTCCGTACAATGAATTGGTAGCGTGCAAGGCCTCTGAGGGCCACCGTGCAGCGCGCAGACGCTGCCGAACTCGAGAGCGCACCGCCCGGCAGCCCCCGCTGCCCCAGTCCAGGCCGGGCGCGGGCACAGGGCAGGGCAGCCGCTCCCGAGCGATCAGCATTAGCTATCGGCCCCCGGCCCCGGGCCTTTTCAGCTTCGCCTGGGGCTTGCCGATCTCCGCCGCCTGCGCTGCCACCCTGTCCTGCAGCGCCTTGTTGCCGCCGCTGCCCGAGCCCTGGCCGCGCGACAGCATCCTCTCCTCGCGAAGCTTCCGCTTCTCCTTCGCGAGCGTCGCCTCCTCGTGGAGTTCCGCCTGGATGTGCTCCACGAGCGTCGGGCACACCATCAGCGAACCCCTCGTCTCCGAAGTCCCCATGTACAGGCACTCACCCTCCAGGTACTCGTCGCCACTGCCCTTCAGCAGCCCCTCCCGGTGGCGCCACTCCGCGAGCTGGGCGCGGCGCACCAGGAGCTCCACCAGCGACAGCTCGGACAGGTTGAGCGGGTCGAAGCCCGCGCCAAGCTCCAGCGCCCGCATCGCCGACTCGTGGTCCGACACGCCGATGCTGCTGGGCCCGAGGCCGCACTCCGCGCGCCACTCGGAGTGGCGGGCGCGCGGGTGCGAGTCCTGCTCAGCGAGGAAGCGGACGCACCACAGCGCGGTGCGCGGCCCCTTGACTGGCCCTCCCGGCCATGCCGCCTTTGTCATGCCGCGCACCGCGATCTTGAACACCCGCCTCGTCTCGCCGTCGAGCCCGTAAAAGATCGGCATCAAGCGGGCGTCCATCGAGCTCTCGGCCTCCTTCTCCGTCACCGCCTTCACTACGTAACACTTCCCCCCCGCCTTAGCGAGGGCCAGTCCCCCGCTCACAGCGTACCACTCGCAGCCCTCGAAGTCGGCGAGCACATTCACGTCGCTGTCGTCCTTGCTAGCCGCGATGGACCAGCGCTGGCTGCCAACTGCGGGCAACCTCCCCGAGCCTCGCCCGAGGCCCTCAGAAGGAGTCGCTGTCCCACCCCGCGCCGTCGGGTCCTCGGGCTTCGACGCCAGCGCTGACGCCTCCTCCGCCTCCGGCGCCGCCGCGCCGCAGGACTCGAACAACTCCATGAACGCGAAGGGCGGAGGAAACCACTGGTCGCCGCACGTCGGGCGGGCCACCAGGCGGCCCGATCCTCCGACTCGGTCGCGCCATCGCGGCGGGCCCATCCGATCGCACGGGACCAGCACGTGCTGCAAAGGCGGAACCTCGAGCTCGTGCGGGTAGATGTCCTCGTCGGGAGTGGCCGCCATCCACACTGGACTCGTCGAACTAGCCGGAGGAGTCCTGAGCTCGCGCTCGTACTCGGTGACGTCGGCAGGACGCAGGAGAAGACGTATTTGGTAATCCTCCTGCGCCCGCCATTGCACCAGAACGCGTGCTGCGGACCGCAGCGCCAGCGCCATGCCAGGCAGCGCTGCCCGCCAGTGCGCACACCGAGCGGCAGCAGCAGCCCACTAGCGCGCCGATGCTGACGACCAGCAGAAGGAGCGTGCGTGTGCCCCGAACTGGTCCGCCGCCGCCGCCACTTAGCCCGCCTCCGCCACCACGCTGGCGAGGTGCCGAGCCCATTCAACCGCAAATTGCCCTGCCGCGAGGCAGCCTGACTGGGTGGCAAAGTTTTGAAGCATGCGGTCGCCACTCTCTGAAAAGCTTGGGCCAGCACGGCAACGGACAGAGCACAGCACACGTGCGCGCTCTTCTCTGCATCCTGCCGTGCAGCGGCCGAGACTGTTGGACAGGCAATCACGTTAACAGAGCTAGACAGGAGGGCGAGACGGAGGAGAGAAAGATCAAGACCGAGGAGGAAACCGAGGATGAGGAGGGCGGACGAGGGAGGAGGAAAAGGCGGGAGGCGGCCTCGAAAGAAAAAGAGAAGGGAGGAGGAGGGAGGGAGTACGGAGGCGGGGGAGGAGGAGGAGGAGGGAGGAGGAACGAGGGCGGGCGGGGCTCAGGCCGGTGCCGCCACCGCCGTCTTCCAAGGCGCCCCCGTGCGTCATTGTCGTCGTCTGCGAGGCGGCGATTCCTTCATACCCGCCGCCTGGGGAGCCGATGTCCTGGGACCCCCAGAGGGCAGTGGACATGGACATGTATCGGCGGCGAGCGAGTGGGGGAAGTTAGGGAGAAGGCCTTCTCAGAAGGCGGCGGGGCTTCTCAGAAACCCTCGCGCCTTCTGAGAAACTTTCTGCGTCGTTGGGGAAGGCTGAGAAAACTTCTCAGAAGGCCAGAGGCCTTCCGAGCCGAAGGCCCGGCCCATCCGACTTCCACTCCCGGGTGCGCCGCCTAATGTATCTGGGCCCCGAGGTGAGAAACTTTCTGCGTCGTTGGGGAAGGCTGAGAAAACTTCTCAGAAGGCCAGAGGCCTTCCGAGCCGAAGGCCCGGCCCATCCGACTTCCACTCCCGGGTGCGCCGCCTAATGTATCTGGGCCCCGAGGGGGAACAGAACGTGCCCCCATCCACCGCCTCCCGAGGTCCAGGGAGCTGACCCGCTGACCCCACGAGGACCCTCGGCGTGTGGCAACGCAGGAACGCTTTCGGCGAGGCGCAGCCGCAGAAGGCAGCCCGAGGCTGGAAAGCCGCCAAAGACCAGCGAAAACGTCCGAATCTTAGCTGCCCCGATACGCAATGCGTTTCTAAGGGCTCCCAACTTCGCGCTTCGCGCTGCGCGAAGCGCGAAGTGCGAATAACTTCGCCCTCTCGCGCCGCCTCCCAGGGGAGAAGAGGAGGACGAGGAGGAATCGGAGCCGAACCGCGAAGCGCGAAGCGCGAATAACTTCGCGCCCTCGAGGGCGCCCTTGGTTTCACGTAGCGTGCTGACACGGAGCTCAGCGCCTAGACTGAAAACGTGGGTCTGGCGCGATGCTTTCGCCAACACGCGCGCCAGCACGGGCCGTGCCAGGGCGAAGCGTGTCGCCACGGACGTCTTGAACACGAGACGTACAGGCGTGCTGCGCTTCAGCAAGGGCGTACCAGGGCAACAGAGGCCCGCAAATCCCGATTGGCTTCCCAGGCGGTGGACATGGACAAACCCCGGCCTCGGATCGGATCGCGGCCGCCGCCCCCCTGCGAAGGCCTCGGACCCGCTCCCCAGTTGGGGCCGCCGTCCAGGCCGCCGCCCTGCCCGTGCGGCACCAGCGGCGGCCCCCAGGCGCCAGCAGCAACACCGTGCCTGCCATCGCCGCAGGGCTTCGCCGTCTACGTCGTCGCCGCCGCCGGCGCCGCCCACGTCTTCCCCGTCGACGCCTTCGCCGCCGCCGCCGTGGTTGTAACGTTCTCCTCGCCCTCGTCGCCGTGGCCCTCCAGTCCTCACCATCCTAGCCCCTGATCAAGGCATTTCGCCTGGACTTCGCTGCTGGATGGACTGACGCATACGGGCCCTTGTGAGGAGACGAAACATACATGATACCAAGAGAAATGTGTTGCTGCTGCTGTTGTTGGTGCGCTGCTTGCTGGTTGGTTGGTTGTAGTCGCCGTCCCACCCGCGACCCACCCGTGACCCAACCCGCGACTCACCCGCGACCCAACCGCAAACCCACCCGCGACCCAACCCGCGACCCGCCCTCGACCCACTCACGACCCACCCGCAACCCACCCGCGACCCACCCTGGACCCAGCCCGCGACCCACCAGTGACCCACCTGCGACCCACCCCCGACCCATCCGCGACCCCCACGCGACCCCCCCCCCGCAACCCACCCCACGACCCACCCGCGACCCACCCATTTGCTTTGACGAAAAACTCGGAGCCTGCGGCGGGTTTGTTGTATCATTTGTTGACGAAAATCGGCGCCTGCGGCGGGCTCCTTCCAGAGCCTCGCAGACTTCCGACGACCCCGCCGCCCCCTCACTCTTATCCGCAACCGCGGGGTGCTTCTTCGGAGGAGCAGGGGTACGGGGGAAGCCGCACCAACAAGAGTCAGGCCTGCGCGAGACTCGACAAGGAGGACGAGCAGACGGGAGGAGGACAAAGAAGGTCGACGGCGGAGTCGCGGCACAGCGACAGCGGCAGGCAGCGTGCAGCGGAACGGCGAGCTGGCCACAATGCGCTTCGTGGTTCACCCAGGACTGAAGCCGATGCAAAGGCTGAAGTGGACACACAAATGGAAAGGGCCAACCCTAGAGGTTTGGTAAACATCACATCGCTTGAATCCCCATGACTTGATGGACTATGGGCGCGTTTCGGCACTGCCACTGCCGCCACAACACTCGCCAATGCCACTGCCACTGCCTCCTGGCCTTTTCGGGGAGGAAGAGGACTTAGAGGATAAATGGGGACGCGGAGGACGAAGAGGTCGTCATTCCTCTCCGCTTCCTTCCCCCGCTCTCTCATCTTCCCGCCTCCTCCCTGGCCTCCACCTCCCTCCTGCACCCCAATTCTCGCCGTGAGAATCCTCCCACACTCGTCGTCACTGTCGCCGCCGCCTCCGCTGCCACCGCCGTCATTTTCTTCGTCTTCGTCGTCGTGATCGTCGTCGTCGTCGTCGTCGTCGTGATCGTCGCGGTCGTCATCATCCGTTTCATCTGTGCCAGTCGTCGTCGCCGCCACGGCCGCCGCCGTTTCCACCGCCGCCGTCGCTGTCGAGGTCGCGGTCGCCGCTGTCCATCGTGCATCGTCCATCGCCTTTGCCGTCGCCCGCGGCGGCAACCGCCGTCCGCCGCTCGTCGCAGTCGTCCGTCGCCCACCGCCCCTGGTCCGCTGTCGTCGATGGGCGTCGGCGTCGGCCACCACCGCTGACCGCCGTCGACCGGCAACCATCATCGCAGATCGGCGTCTCCGTCGATCGGCAGATCGCCACTGCCCCGGCGCGCGCCGCTGCTGAGCCACGCCCAGCACGCCCGGGGGGGGGCCGTACGTCCGCTGCGGCAGGTGCCTCTGGGGGCGGCAGCGAGCGGAGGCGCGGCGGCCACGGCGGCAGGGCCAGCAGCAGCGGCGGCCGTTACGAAGACCACGGCGGCGGCGGAGGCCGCATCGACGACAACGACGAGGACGGCGTCGGCGGCGGCGAGGACGAGGGGAGGACAACGAGGAGGACGGCAAGGGAGGGGGGGAAAGGAATTGTGACCAGGAGCGAGGGCGAGGGAGGGAACGGGCGGGGGGATGGGAGCGAAGCGGTCGGGCGATGAGTAAGAAGGGGAGCGGGGGTGGCGAGGGAGAAAGAGGGGGGTTGGGGCCGCAGCGCTGCAAAGCAGAGCACGCCGCGCCACAGGCCAGGAGCGAGGGCAGGAAGGAGAGATGGGGAGGGGGAACGGGCCGACGAGGGGAGCAAGCTGAGCGAGCCTCCTGCCCATCCCCCCGCCCTCCTCGCCAACGTGCTGACGCTGCTTCTCCTCCCCCCCCCTCCTCCTCCTCCTCCTCCTTCTCCTCCTCCTCCTCCTCCTCCTCCTCCTCCTCCTCCTCCTGCTCCTGCTCCTCCTCCTCCTCCTCCTCCTCCTCCTCCTCCTCCGCCTCCGCCTCCGCCGCCTCCGCCTCCGCCGCCTCCTCCTCCTCCTCCTCCTCCTCCTCCCGCTCTGCCCATCATTCCTCCTCCTCCTCCTCCTCCTCCTCCTCCTCCTCCTCCTCCTCCTCCTCCTCCTCCTCTCCCTCTCTGCCTCTTTGCGTCACCCGTCGTCCATCCTGGCGGCTCCGTCTGTCCTTCAATCCTCGGGCCTCCTGCCTGAGCCTCACGAGCGACGGCAACAACAAGGAGGAGGAGAAGGAGAATAGGAAGGGGAGGAGGAGGAGGGAGAGGAGGAGGAGGAGGAGGAGGAGGAGAAGAGGAGGAGGAGGACGGGTCGCCTGAGCCTTTCGGAGAAACCCTCTAAGGATGGGGGAAGCCTTCTCTGCAGCACCCCTGATTCTTTAATAGAGGGCAGAACATCCACCCCGAAAATATCACCCGACAAGCGACGCCGCTAAGTAAACGCACCCAATGAAGCAATCGAACAGGACACGGCTGTGTAATAAACGCCCAGGGCCGTTTAGGAAACGTCAATTGTCAGACCAGGGTGGTTGTTCCTCCCTTGATAAGAAGGTATGGGCCTTATCTATAGATGAGGGCCAGCGCCTTCTAAGGAGCAGCCTCCTTCTGAGAAGCCTTCCCCCCCCCCTACCGGTGGGGGCCGATCCACAAGAAACCCACCGTAAGATACCCGACCCTGAAATCCGCCGAGGTTTCTTAGTCCAGGGTCGGGTTTCGTGCGCTTCGGCTGAAAACGAAGAAGCCCAGGGCACCCTGGCCCGACCGGTGTCTTGATTGCTGGCGCCAAGCAGTTTGACATCAAGAAACCCAAGACGATCGAAAATGCGAGCTTCGGGTCTCGGAGGTTCTGGCGCGCGCCCCGAAACTGACCGATGCCCGAGACACCCAGGGTGCCCTGGCATTTACAACTTTGTTTCGAGACTGCGGCGACCTTCCGCGCCGAACGCCAGCCAAAGACATCCAGGGAACCGTGACGAAACGCAGGGTGTTTCTTGTCATGGGCCCTCACTGCACCCCCCTCTGCGCGTGGCTGCTCGGCGGCTGCTCCGTGCCAGCCCCGAGGCGCTCGACATCGCCACGCGGGCGGCAGGCCGTGCAACCCCCGGCGACGGCGTGCCAAGCGGCTCGAGCCGGCCGCGTCGAGCACTCCGACCGCGGCATTCCACGACCAGGAGCCGAGGGCGCACGAGCTGAGACTCTTAGAGCAACGGCGGCTGCGCCGAGGCTGCGGAAAACGGGCGATGGACGACGGCGGCGACGGCGGCGGCGGCGCGAGCCTCGTGCGAAGTCCTGCACGCAAGACGTGACGACTCGGTGCCCCCCACCCCCGAGCTCCCCCGAGGCCGAAACCCTTGGTGCGCCCCGAACCACTCCTGAGCCCCACCGAGCCCTACCGGAACCCCCATCGCTGTTCACTCAGTCCCTCTGGGCCTCCTTTCGCCCCGCCCCCCTCCCTGGGCCCGACGACGACGATGACGAGAACCATCAAGGACGGCGAGCGACGAACGACGAACGACGACCGTCCAGGACGACGACCGTCGAGGACGGCGAGAACGAGAACGAGGACGAGAACGACGAGGACGAGGACGACGACGACGACCCTGAGATTCGACGGTGCGAAAATTTGAAACAAAGCGAGAAATCACGCCCCTCTCTGACTCCACCAATTTTCGAGCCACATCTATATGTGAGGATCCCAGGGCCCGCAACTCGGCGAAAACGCCCGGCTCGACAAAGTCGCGATGCCAGGATCTCAGAGGAAGGCGGCGGCAGAGAATGAAAGCACTACATTGGATCTGCCCTCTCCAGCGCGCGGGGCGCGCCACGGGCGACGTCGGAGGAGCCGCCAGGGGGTCCAGCGCGGATCCGAGAAATCCTCGCGGACTGTCGAAAGTCTATGTGCCGTCGAGGCGTACAATACGGATGCACGGTAAGAGTGCAAGGGCCGTTGAAGGTCATGTTGGCGTTTTCGAAAGCAAAAGTCAGCGAAAGTCGCCAAGCATGGGCTGAAGGAGCAGGATGCAAAGGTAGCATCGGAAAAAACATAATCCCTACTATGCGACTTGACAATGTATGCCATCATGTTATTCTTATTATTATTACTAGTATTATTGTTGCTTCGTCTTCTTCCTCGAGTCAATTGGACACCCGAAATGGGTACGGACAAGAATGGGTACGATGCCAAACAACAAATGCTGCCCAAAATCGACGGCGGCCGCTATTGGACAGGCGAACTTGTGCCTCAAATGGACAACGACTGCGGCGACGCCGACAGCGAATCCTTTTCGGCATGAGCAAAACTATTATTGGACTTCAGAGTGGGGTCAGAGTAGATGGGGCAAGAAGACCGCACCGCATCGCCGATGCACCATCGATGCATCGGCAATGCATCAGAGACGTCGGTGACGCATCGGCGCCGTCGCCGGCGTAGGGAAACACGATCCCCACACCAAGCCGCATCCCCGATGCCTCGGCGCTGCGGCGGGCTCCGCCGACCCCCTCCGCTCGGACCCCCTCTGGGAGGCCCCTCCCCCGACCCCCTCCGCTCGGAACCTCCTCCGCTCGGACCCCCAACTCTGTGCCCCCTCAACTCCCCGTGCCCATCCCGCTCCCCCCGAGACGCCGGCGGCGGCCACCCCGGCCGCTTGGCCTCCCCGGCGGGGGCGGCATGTCCCGCGCCGCGTGGCGGGGCCGGCCCTGCTGCTCTGCCTCGGGGCCCGCCGCCGGCGCGGAGCCGCCGCCGCCCGCGGGCCGCCGCCGGTGCCGGCGGCGACGGCGGCCTCCCGCCGTCTCGGCGGCGCCTCGATGCCTCCGGCTCGAGGCGATGCCGCTTCGCTTGGACTTCGGGCTCCGATCTGGGCCTCGGTCTCGCACCAGAGGCCCCGCTGGCCTGCCGAGGTCCGCCGAGTCGACGTCTCCCGACGTGGCTGCCGATGTCTGCCGATCCGATTCACTTCGATCGCCGATCGGGCGCACCCGGACACGGCCAGGAGCGTTTGCTCAGCGTGTCGCAGCGGCGGCCCCGGCGACACGCGGTGTCCTGCGAGCCGCTGGTCTCGCTCTGCCTCGCGGGGCGAGAGGCTGGGGAAGGCCTGGGACGTGGATGGTCGGGGACCAGGACGGAGTCGGCAGGTCGCGCCGAGGCGTGGGGCGGCCAGAACCGGCGGCGCGACACTCTGAGCCAAGGCTCCTAACCCTGAGATGAAGCCTGGATCGGTGCAACATCGGGCCCGGACAAGTCGGGGATGTCTCTGAAAGCTGGCGGGTCTGAAGGCTGCATCGGGCGCCGCGGCCATGTCGGCCAGGGCTCCCAACTTCATGCTCTCGCGCTGCGCGAAGCGCGAATCGCTTCGCGCTCTCGCGACGCCCCCCGGGGGAGAAGAGGAGGAGGAGGAGGAATCATCGGAGCCGAAGCGCGAAGCGCGAATAACTTCGCGCCCTCGAGGGCGCCCTTGGTCAGAGGGTGCAAAAACGCTCTACGAGCGTTCCCGAACGCTCTGCACCGAGTTGCCCCGATGCTGAGCCTGCCCGAAGGGCGCCATCGCCGCGTGCGGGCGCGGCTCCGAGGAGCCGCGGTCCCCGTTGGTGTCGCTGGCCGCTCTTCGCCGGCCGTTGGCCGCTGCTCGCTGGTCGATCGACATGTGCAGGAGGACGGAGAGGAGGGAGGGGAGGGAGATGCCAGAAGGGCGGAAGAGAGCGTGGGGCGGGCAGGGAGGGGGCGGGGTGGGGCAGGAAGAGGTGGACGGGGCGGAGGATGGAGGGAAAAGGGGGCGCAGTCCTCAGCCTCTTCCTCCTGCTAATACTTGCGTTTCTCCCCCGCTCCCGTTCCTGCTCTTCACTGCCACTGCTGCTGCCCCTCCTCCTCCAACATCCTGCTCATTCTGTTTGCCCCTCCTCCTGCCAACGAAGGGTAAGTGTGGCCTGTCCCCCTACAGGGGGATTTTGGACGAAAACGAACACATACTCAAAAAATACCCCCCAAATGCTCCCCCTGTAGAGGGACAGGCCCGACTTAAAACTAGGGGTGAGGCGGGCATCGAGGACAGTGGGGGGTGCCCTGAACATCTGTGACCGGGCGCACAGAGGATAGGGCCTATAAACGATAGGCGGCCAGAGACACGGCGGCGCTGGACAAACTTCCAGGCACCAGCACGCACATGTGCCAAGCAAGGTTGCGCCCACCACAGGGAACTGGATCAGCTCAGGTACACAATGAACGTCGTGGACACGACTACCTCGGAGGAAGACCAATGGGTCCGAACTCGTTTTCTCTCTATAGTTGGCGGATCGGGACAAGGGCAAAAAAGGCGACGGGCAATTGGGGACTGGTGCGCGAAGTGGAACAAAAATGACAGCGCTCACGTCAACGGGGAGGGCAAGGAAGCTTACAAAGATCATGGCTCGCTTCAGCGGCGTTACCTTCATCAACGCAACACTGTGGGCAAAGGAAGCACTGAGGAGCAACCGCGGGACCTTGACAGAATGTATATGAAGCTGGGCGAATGCAATGTAAAACACGGCGGCTTCTCAAACATGATCGGCTCTGCGGATGGCCACAGTCCAGCGCGGTCGCTCACCTTCGGCATCAAGTGCGACGCGCCCATCGAACTCCGATGCGGAAGCCCTGCTTCCAGGCAGAGGTACAAGCCACGTTGTGCAATTCCACCCAATCCGGGGCGCGCTCGTCTACGATGTTCATTGGAAAAATACCACTCAAACAAAATCCCCAAAGAACTCCCCGGACAACTCGGGCATCCCAAAAAACATCTGATCCAGACAACTGTTTGGACAGGCCAACGGGGATCCGGACAACCCCCTTGGACAAGCCTCCCCGGGATTTGTCTCCCATGACCCATATCGCAGATGCTCGGCATCTTTGGACACGCTTCGATCTGACACGGCGTTTCGCGCTAGCGCCCTGGGCCGCGCCCGCCCGCGCACCCAGCTCTCGGGCCGACGCGCCAGCTTGGCGCTGGCCTCAGCGATCGCAGCACTCGCCCCTGCCACCTTTGCTGCACTCGTGCCCTGCCTCGCCGTAGGCGCTGCTGCTGGTTCGGCCTCCATTTTGCCTCGTTTGGTTGGTCCTCTGTTTCTTGTTGGCCAATCGCTACTGCAAGTCCTTCGAGTTTCACGGCCTTCGTGCCGCAATTCTACGACCGTGCAGATTAATTCCTGTCGGAAAAGCGTCTGGGGGGTTAATTTGGGCCATGTAGCCTCTCGACGACTTGTCTCGGCGACCACATATCCGAATGATTCCAGCCCGAAGATGTTCCCATCATCCAGATAAAAGCCTGCCCCCATCCAAGATCTTAGCCAACTCCGATGTTGGTGGTCCAGCCTTGGCAGGCATGTCCTCGGAGATGACACTGCTGTGAAACATCCGCGACGCGGCTTGGTATGCGCTGCGGGCTGCATCCCAGTCCACGGTGTGCTGAAAGACCAGCTCCTGCGCCTCCTCCACCACCTGCTTCATGCGCTCACACCTCTCGACACTACGTAGGAGGGCCCCCGGCGCGGTCCAACCTGGCACTGGCCAATTCCACTGCTACATCGATGTGAATCTTGCTCCGCCTGTGCAGCTCGACTTTGGACCCGTAGTGTGCCAGCGCCGTCGCAACCCCTGCCGGTGAGGAGATCGACAAGCCATGCCAGGCGTCGCTTCTTCTTGCTGTCCCCTGCGCTGGCGTCCCCCGAGAGCTCGGGGGGCGAGGCCGAAGGGAGACGAAAGATGGGAGATGGCCCAGGCTGGGCTCACGACGCTGGCCCTATGGAGGCACCCGGGCAGGAGACCTACCACCACGAGGAGACCTAATTACCACCATGAGGCCATGTCGGCTGCGGCTCCGTGGGGCCAGTGGTCCACCGCAGTGCTTGTACCATTTCCACCATGCCTGGTTTTTGGCAACCACCCGCAGGCCTCGCACTTGACGCGTCCCGTGACTACGATCTCCGCCATGCCCGGTGCGAGTGAATCCTGCCGAAGTGTCAGAATCGCTGGGGCTCGGGCGAGTTCGCAGCGAGGCAATCAGAAACAGGAAGACAGCGCCGATTTCCTTAGGCTGGCAGTCGTGGGACAGCCCCTCGGCTTGAGACAAAATGGCTACGTACGTAACCGTCGTCGCCCTCCTCCTCCCCGCCGTCCTCCTCCTGGTCCTCCTACCCCACCTGCTCCTCCTCCAACTCCTCGTCCTCCATCCTCCCTAACATCCCCATGAGTCCTGGGATGCGACGACGAACGACGACTGCAAAGTGACTGGCGCCAACGGCGAACGACGAGCGATAACGACGACGACGAAACGACTGACGGGCCGACTGGCCGACCCACCGACTAGCCGACCGACCGACGGTCGACCGACAAAAACGACGGCGAACCGCGACCGACCACCATCGGCCGACCGACCGAGGACGGAAGCGACGCCGGCGACGACGGCGACGACCGACCGCCCACCGCCCGCCCGCCGACCGACGACCGAAGAAGCGACAGCGGCCGACGACGGCGGCGAGCGGCGAGCGGCGACGACGGCGCCGCCTCGGCCGGGGCCGCGCCTCCCGCCCAGCCGTGGGGCCTGTGCGCGGAAGCTGCGGCCCGCCGCCGCCGTCGCCGCGGCCGCCGCTGCCGCCGGCTGGCGGCCTCTCGCCGCCGGCGCGGACGCTGCTGACGGCAGCAAGGGAGGGAGGGAGGGAGGGAGGGAGGGAGGGAGGGAGGGAGGGAGGGAGGAGGAGGAGGAGGACCAGAGCAAGCCCCGCCCCGTTTGGAGGAGGAGGGGAAGGGGGGAGGAGGACGAGGAGGAGGAGGAGGAACGGGAGCAGGAGGGGAAAGGGCAGCACCGGGAGGCGACGGAGGCACGCCGCTGGCGCCGCCAGCAGCGCCGCCGCCGCTGCCGCCACAGACCCACGGCTGCCGCTGCCGCTGCCGCCGCCGACGACAGCGGCGGGGGCGACGGCGGCGGCAGTGGCGGATGTGTCGTCGTCGTCGTCGTCGTCGTCGTCGTCGTCGTCGTCGTCTAGGTTGTCGTCGAAAGTCGAGAACTTGGGTTTTGGGCGTGTGCGGGACCTCAGTCCTCCAGAAGCCTCCAGGGGCCTCCAGGGGGCCCTCTGGGAAGTCTCTGAACCATGCCTCCCAGCGAAGTCGTCATCGGCCTCATCCTCCTCCTCCTCCTCCTCCTCCTCCTCCTCCTCCTCCTCCAACTGTTCCTTCTGGGGTCAGAGAAGGGAGGGATGGGGGAGGAGAAGATTGGGAGAGGCGGGGGGGCAAAGGGGGAAAAGGGAGCAGAAGAGGAGGAGAGGGAGGAGCGGGAGATAGGGCGGGGGGTGTAGAGGGAGGTGGGAGAGGGAAGAAGAGGAAGGAGAGGGAAAGAGGTGAAGGTGGAGGGGGGGAGCAGGAAGGAAAAGGAAGGAGGGGGACAGGGGAGAGCAGGGGGAAAATGTGGAAGAAGGAAGGAAACGGGGAAGGGCGAGGGACCAGGGGGAAGAGGAATAGGGAGGCGGGAGGAGCGGGGAGAAGGCGGATATGAAGGAGGGGCAAGGAGAAGGACGAGGGAGGAGGACGAGGATGGAGGAAAAGACGAGGGAGCAGGAAATCTGAATGAACTTCGCACTTCGCCTTTTGCACCCTTGCTTGTCTGCGGCCCAACCCTCGCAGGTGAGCTTGACGACCCTGCAGCTGTCTCGAAAGCGAACCTTCGAGAGCGTTGCAGCCTTGCACCTTTGCAGACAATCGATGTCTTGACTTGTTCAATGCGGGGTTTCTGAAAGTTCCGACCCTTTCCCCAGGGCCAGCTTGTCATCCCGAGGCGTTCTCTGACGGCCCCGTGGCTCGGCGAGGGCCCCCGGATGCCGAAAACGGGAAAAAAAAACTCCCGTCGTGAATGTTGTCGACGACGCGAGCATGTCTGGGACGGCGGCTTCGTCGGCGTCGTCGCGACCGCGTCTGCTGCGGCCTCAGCAGGGTCTGGGGAAAATCGCGCCGTGGCGCGGAGGAGATCGCCCACCTCCTTGATCCATCCCCCCATCCTGAAGGCTGAGCCCGCTGCTGAACGGCAACCTTGAACCACCCTGTGATACCCCACTCTCAAACAACAGTCTTGATTGCAGAAGTGTAGACAGCGGCGGTGTGCAAAAATACTCGTGTCGGAGGTGCCAGGGGCCTGCGCTGTTTGGACACCGAAAAAATCGGTCAAGGAGGGGATGAGGCCAAATCCGTTCAAAGTCGGTCCCCAGCCCCCCCCCCGGGTCCAAACGCAAGAGTCGTTCGATGAGCGTCCAGATGTTGCGACGAAAACCCCCCAGAGGTAACAACAACAAAAAACCTTACCCGTTCCCCCCCTTACCGCTTGCCGGAAACACAATTGTGCCAATGCAGACCCCCAGCTGGCTCCGAATGGCCAACGATAGATTGCGAGATCATCGGCACCTAGCCCGAAATGACCGCCGATGCTGAACCCTGACAACTCTCCGTCTCCGTATGGTTAAACACGAGCCACGTCTACATCGCAGAGCGGGGGGGCTGGGAAGGAGCATGCCACGATGTGCCACGCTTCGACCTCAAGGTGTCGTTGCTTGGAGCGATCGGCCGTTTCTGAAACGCCAGATCGTTCAGCATCGACCGACTCTGGGCAGCTGGCGGCGTTCAACGTGGAACGCCTGCGGCGGGGTCGCCGCTGATCGACGCGACGCGACCCTGCCGTGGGGGAGGGGCCTGGTATAGGTCGGGTATGCCCTCCTGCAGGCAGATGTGGGACGAAAACTAAGTTGTCAACAACAATTAACCAACCGAGATTCCAAAGAGCACGGCGCATCGTCACCAAACTAATGCTGTTGCCCCTGCGGCGGGGTCGTCGCGGGTCGACGCGGCGAGAGCCTGCTGTGAAAGACACGGGGAGGCCAGCGGCGCTTCCACGCGGGCGGAAGGGGGCGGCTTGGCGGAGCCTGCCGCCTGCGGGGCCCGACGGGCCGCAGGCGCCGCGCAGGTGGTCGGCGTAAACCTCGGGAGGCGGGCTTGAGCAGGGACTGTCGGGCGGGCGGTAACGGGGGGTGACCCATCACTATGAGGACGACATCATCATCATCATCATCATCATCATCATCATCATCATCATCAGCATCATCATCATCATCATCATCATCATCAGCAGCAGCAGCAGCATCATCATTATCATCAGCAGCATCAGCAGCATCATCATAATCGGCATCATCATCAGCATCATCAGCATCATCAGCATTATCATCATCATCATATTCATGACCAGCATCATCATCGGCATCATCATCAGCATCAGCATCAACATCATCGGCATCATCATCATCATCAGTATCATCATAATTACCATAGCATCATCATCCTCATCAGCATCGTCATCGCCAGCATCGCCATCGCCATAATCATCATCATCATCAGCAGCAGCAACATCATCATCATCACCATCATCAGAATCATCATCATCATCATCGTCAGGGGTGACCCAAACGGGGGGTGAAGAAGGCCCTTCTCTTCACCCCCCATGTGGGTCACCTTCCATTACCGCCAACCCGAGACTGAGCAGGGACCGACCGTCCCGGCATTCCTGTAGACCTACCACGAAATGTTCTCAGAACCCATGCTCTAAGAAGAAAAGCAGTGTTCACAGGACATGAAAAGCCGAGGCGTGAAAACAAGGCAGCCCCAGCCAGAAATGCTCTGAGGACATCTCGTGCAAACCATAAGAGGTGACTAGAACATGTTTTGGTGGGTCTATAAGGAAGCCAGGACGCCTCGCCACTGCTTGAGTGACGAGCGTGACGCGGATCGCTCAGCCTTGAACGATAGGCGGCTTTCCTCGGGGGGACGAACGACTGGGGATTCAGGGACTCGAGTTGGCCTGCCGGGGCCGCCAGGAAAACGAGGAGACCCCATCTAAAATGTGACGCGAGCTCTGGCTGCAAACACCCCACGAAAACTGAACCACCAAAATCTAGGACGGGTTCGTCAAAAAGCGTCAACAAACCCGAGTTCTGGCGAACTCGAGACTTACGTTTCGCCGTTTTCCGAAAGCGCAAATCGTTCGATATAGATCGATTCGCGGCAACCGGCGGCGGTCAACCTTGAACGCTCGCGGTGGCACGACGCCAACGTGCCGCGACTGTTCTGTTGTCGCGGACATGGCGAGCACTCGAGTGGGTCGGGCAACCACAGGAGGGCACTGATGACGACGACGAGACGGAGACAGTGCCGCGGACGAGAGAAGGCAGAAGGGGCGGAGCCAAGTCGGAAGGGCGGAGCGGGGAGGAGGAGGAGGAGGAAGAGGAGGAGGAGGAGGAGGAGGAGGAGGGAGGAGGAGGAGGAGGAGGGAGGAGGAGGAGGAGGAGGAGGAGGAGGAGGAGGAGGAGGAGGAGGGGCGGGGGCCAAAAGCTGGAGGAGGCAGGGGCGAGCGCGCCCCAGCGGCAGATCCTGGGCGGGCAGGCCCGGGCGAGGCACCGCAGGACGTGTGGACCCGAGAGCGAGAAAGGCGGCGCCCCGGCCGCGGAAAGGGGGCGGGCGAAGGGCGACTCGCACCGCGCGGGCCCTTCGTCGGAGGCGGTGTGTCTGGACGGGCGCGTGCTGAGGAGCGGTCCCCGGCGGCCGTTGCCTCCTCCGCCCCCTCATCCTCCTGCCTCTGCTCAGATCTGGGCATTGCGCCTCCTCCCGCCTCCTCCCGCCTCCTCCTCCTCCGCCTCCCGCCTCCCACCTCTCCTCAGGGCGCTTCTACCCGGATTCGGGCGCCAGGACCATCACGGATCGATGCGACCCGGGAGGAAGGCTGCAAGCAGGTGGGGTCTAGGGCTCCGATCGTGATCTTCCGCGATGCCGCATTTTTGTCAAAGCGTCGGATCTCAGGGTCCTCCTTCTCCGCTCCTCCCTCTGCTCCATCCCTGCCTCCGCGGGCGAAGGCGTGTGTTGCAGAGCGGCCGCCGTTGCGGCTCACGGCCTACGCCTGTCGCTGCATCTACTGCACGAACATAAACTTCGGGAGGTCCGCGCGGACTCCTTGGATCGGCGCTGGACCTCCTCCCCGGTGCGCGGAGAGCGCCCAGGGCGGCGCTGGAGGCGCCAAGGCAAGGTGGGGGTGGTCTAACGTCGATCCAATACATCTGCGCGGACGTTGGAAAAATTATGCTTGTGGCACTGTTCTTCCGTGAGATCCGACGGCGCGACAAAATGAAGCATCGCGAAAAATCCTGACCAGAGCACTAGACTCGATCTTCCTGCGCCAGTCTTCGAGCCGCACCGAGCTGTGGGGGCCCCGCCCGGCGTGGCTTCTGGCACTGCGGGGAACGTCCAGCGTTGAGCGAGGGCGGCGGGGTCGCCGCCAATCGATACGACGCGAACTACCGTATACTTAATTATCAGAAAAAGAAAAACAGGCATAAAAGTGAACTGTTGGCGCTCCGCGCAGATTTCTTGGATCTGCGCTGGACCCCCCTCCCTGTCGCGCGGAGCGCGCCAGGGGCGGCGCAGGAGGCGCCGCCCGGGGGGGGGGGGGGGCAGGCGAGGATGCAAGGAATCCGGCGCGCGGAGCGCCACAAGTTTAGGCTTGTGCCGGTTTTCTTCTCCCAATGTATGGCACTTGCTCTTGTGTCTTCGCTTTTGGTGTTTATGTTTATGCCGTTTGTGTTCTCTTCTTCGTTATTCTTCTTCATGCAATTGTTTTATGTTTGGCCCTTGTTCTTTGTGCTTCTGTCGTTTTCTTGTTCTTCTTCTGCTTCAATGTTTATGTGTGCTCGGCGCACGCCTGCTGCAGCAGCGCCGGCGGCGGTGGCGGCAAGCTCGAGGCCGCCGCAGCGGCGGTCGTGCCGCCCGCGCCGAGGTCGCGCGGCAGGCCCCCGGCGTCTGCGGGGGGCTCCGCCCGGGGCACGGAGCCTCGCGCGGAGGGGAGGGGGGCCCGGAGGCAACTGCTGGGAGGTCTTCGCCGGAAGGACTAAGGAGGAGGACGAAGCCCAAGCGGGGGACTGAGGAGAACGAAGGGTTCAGGAGGATTAAGGAGGATTGAGGAGGTCTTCGTCGGAAGGATTAAGGATTAAGGAGGACCAGGGAGGATTCAGCCCGAGTGGGGGGCTGTTGCGCCGGATCAGGCAGCGGATTACGCCGGATTGAGCGGGAGTCAGCCGGAGTAAGCGGGATGAAACCGGATTTCGCAAAGTCAGGGTCTGACCCCCCAGGAAGTGCATCCGAAGGGAGGGAGGTCCTGCTGCTGCTGCTGGTGCTCCTCAGGCCTCCTCCCTCCTCCCTCTCTCGCCCTCCGCAGCCGCCCCGGGCGGTTCCACTGGACCATCTCGATCGATGGCCGGAGGCTCTGAGCAGGGCCGAGAAGCTCGCTCGCAAGCGCTCGCAGCTCGGCTTCGTCGACTCGCTCGTAGCTCGGCTTGGTCTCACTTGGTCACGAATCTTCGGCTTTTCTTCGGCTTCGCGATCGGCATGCGGTCGACCAAGCCGAATCTTCGCGACTCGCTCTTCTCCGGCTTCTTCGACTCACTCAGCCGCCGTCCCAGCTCGAGGCCTTGGGCGCCGTTGCCAGATAACGGCGCGCCTCGCTCGGGACAGCAGCCACACGCGCCGGGGGGTCGGCCGTGCCGCACGCTCCTCGCCCAGGCGGAGCAGCCGCGCGGACGGGGCTCGCAGACTTTCCGCCCTCCTCTCCAGGGGAGCGAAAGGGTCGGATAGCAAAGGGCAGGATAGATAATCAGCTCACGTAGCTGGACTTCCTGGCGCCTCCTGGCGCAGCGAGGCGCACGTGTATATCGAGGACTGGGCCCAGCGGCGGGGCCGAAGCCAGCTCCTTGCAGCAGAGTTCGTAGCCCCACGTTTCCCTACAGTAGGAGATCGACCACCAGAACCCTTCCACAAGAATCCCAACCCTGAGACCCCAGGACGTCCGTTGATCTCTGGTGTGGGAACGCCACGCTCTCCACAGCACAACCATCGAGACCTGAGACACCCGGGGCACCCTGGAGGCAAGCAGGGTGCTTCTTGGCGTGGGTTTCCACTGCATCCGACCCTCTCGTCGGGTCCGGTCCTCAACCCTCCCCCGACCAAGGCCTCCGCCGACCTGTTTCCTCGACCCCGCGAGCTCCTGCACCTCGGCCCGCGGCCCCTGGCGCGCCGTTCTCGGGCCCCGGGGCGGTCCGGCAGGGGCCCAGGACGAGTCCGTGGGGACCCCATGGGGCCGCGGATCGGAGAGATCAGATCGGCGGACCTCTGGGCAGGGCTCCGCCCCCCCCCCCCTCCTGAGGCGAAACCAGGACGAGGACAACATCGGATGAGGATGAATCGAGAATCGAGAATCTCTGAGATCTGGCGGCTTTGGAGGATGTCTCGGGCGCCGCGCCCTTCCCAGAGCGTTCCAGGACGCTCTGAGAGCGTTCCAGAACGCTCTGGAACGGATTTCCCAGACCTCCGACGTCGTGAGTTTTTTACAACGCCGACCCCCAGAGGCTCCCTGGGACCGGTCTTTCATCCTGAGTCGTTTTTGACGCTCCCGGGGCCTGGTAAGGGCCCCCAAAGGCCGAACATAGGCGGAAACCTCCCGTCGTGTTTTTTTTCACAGCAAGGGGGTCTTGGTTAGCCTCGCCCCAATCCCGTCCGACCTCCCCACATCCTCCCTCCTTGAACATCGTCTGACCCATCTCCGTCCCCACTGGCTCCCCCCCCCGGTGGGGATGCGTGCTGTCCCCGCCGGGCCTCGGGGGGGCCCATCCCGAGGGGGGGTAACAGAGTTGGGCCTTGCCGCCCCTCCCCAGAGCAACTCTGTCCTGGCCAGAGGAGCCAACCCTCAGGGGGGAAGGGGGGGGGATCTGATTGATTATCCAGGGCTCGCGGTTGTCCCTTCTGGGCCTCGCAGGGCCTACCTCCACTCCCAACCTGGGGGGGGAGTCCGAGGTGCGATCATCGCTTCTAGAAGAAGAAGAAGAAGAAAAAGAAGAAGAATAATAAGAAGAAGAAGAAGAAAAAGAAAACGAAGAAACAACGACAACGCCATTCACATAAAATGTTGGCGCTCCGTGCGCCAGATTTCTTGGATCCGCGCTGGACCCCCCTCCCTGGCGCGCGGAGCGCGCCAGGGGCGGCGCCGGAGGCGCAGCCGGGGGCCAGGCGCGGATCCAATAAATCCGCGCGGAGCGCCACAAGTTTATGTGTATGTTTTTTTTCTAATGAAATCCCAACTCCCAACCTGGAGGGGGGAGAGCCCGAGATGCGATTATCGCCTCAGCGCCGCCGCTCGCTGAGGACTTCCGCAGATTTGATTGCCAGAACTCTGAAACGGTGCAACACTCTAGACTGAAGGGGCCCAGGGACACACGAATAAATAGACACAACTTCTAGGATTCCCCATAGTTTCCCATACTTTCTCGGTGTTCGTCTTCCCTCCACGTCCAACATTTTCCCATGCCTTCCTGGGGATCGACGATGAATTGTGTCTGTGTTTTCTCCCCTCCTGAGATGATCGCCTCAGCGCCGCCGCTCGCCAAGGACTTCCGCTGACTTGCTAGCAAGAACTCGGACACTGTGCGACACTCTGCACGGGTGGAGGGCAGATCCATTTCGAGACGGGGCCACCGCTGGACAATTCTCTGCTTGCTCCCTGTCTCTGTCTCTGTGTGCGCTCCTCCACGATCCCCGACGTCATGACTTTTTATGACGTCCACCCCCGACCGGGGCTTCGAAAACGGGTGTTTAGCGAAACGGGGACTTCGACTGTTCCATTTGCCCCCGCTTACTGTGCCCCCGTCTACGGCGCCCAGGGCGACCCACTCCCAGGGGCCAACTCCTCCTCCTGAATCTTTTCTTGTTGGACCGGTCCGTGGGCCCCGTATAAGGGCCCCCCAGAAGCCGAAAGTATTAACGAAACGCCTGCAGTCGTTATTTTTGATCTCGACTCGAGCGGGTCTGGGATTCGAGCCAGACAATAGGATCGGGGAGACGTAAGACTCGGGTACGGGGGACTCGGGTTAACCTGACGGGGCCATCATCGAAATGACGAGACCATGTGAAATTTGACGCGACCTCCCGCTGCAGACATCCCACAGAAACTGGACCGTCAAAATCCAGGACGCGCTCGCCAAAACAACGTCGGCAAACGGTGGCGTCAATGCGTATTCGGCTGCTCGTGCGGCGGGCCTGTCTGTCGAGGCGGCGGTCCAGTATGGTGCTCTGCCGCCAGAGGGGCGCTGGTCTCTTCCTGCCCGCTGCAGCTCGCAGCGCGACTTCGAGTCTCACCGGAAGGGGCGAGCCCGCCACCACGACCTTGAACTCGAGGGTGGCGTGCGGATCCCCTGCAGAGACGGTCCAGCGATGCTGCAGGGCACCCCCTCGCACCCCGAGCCCCCCCGCCAAGCCCCGGCGAGAGCTCCCCGCGCCGGACGCGGGCAGCGCCCTCCCTGCACGACGGGAGCAGCTCGGTGGCCCTGCCGCCCCGGGCGTGACCCGTCCCTGCAGAGGACCCGCGCGCCGCCCTGCGACTCGGAGGAGGGGCAGACCCGTGCGCCCACCGGCGAGCTCGAGCCTTTACGCCTCCCCGCTGGGAGGGTGGCGGGCGGATCGTCCCCCCAAAGAAAAACTGGGGCCTCGCTCGAGTGGGGCCGGCCCACCGAGCGCTCCGCCATCCCAGGGCAAACGCGCCTCCCCGCAGTGGAAGGAGTACCTCCTCATCCTCCTCCCCCTCCTCCTCCTCCTCCGCCTCCTCCTCCCCCCCCCTCCCCTCCCTCCTCCTCCCTCCTCCTCCTCCTCCTCCTCCTCCTCCTCCTCCATCCTCATCATCATCATCATCATCATCATCATCATCATCATCATCATCATCATCATCATCATCATCCTTTTCCTCCCCCTCCCCCTCCTCCCCCCTCCTACTCCTCCTGCTCCTCCTCCTGCTCCTGCTCCTCCTCCTGCTCCTCCTACATTCCTTGTCCTCATCTATATATTCTCCCTGTCGCACCCCGGGGTCTAATTTTTTGGGCGGGCCAGGCGTTTCGCCAGAGACTTCCTCACCGTGTATGACTCTGGAACTTAAAAAGTTGGCGACGGCTTCACAGATGGAGGGCGGGCGGCTCTCGCTTTAGCGCGGCACGCATTCGTTTATAACGAATTGCAAGAGTTCCACGGATTGAGGGCGGGTGGTTAACAAAATGTGACTCTCGCCCCTTGGCGGCGCGCGTTCGTTTCTTAAGAAATACAAGAGTTTCACGGATTGAAAGCGGGTGGTTTTCAACATATGACTCTCGCCGTAGCGCGGCGCGCATTCGGAATTAAACATTTGTCAGGATTTCACGGATTGAAAGCAGGTTGCTTCCAAAATGAGGCTCTCGCCTTAACGCGGCGCACATTCGTGTTAAACCTTTGTCAAGGCGTCACGGATTGAGGGCTGGTGTTTTTTCAAGATGTGGCTCTCGCCTTGGCGCGGAGCACCTTCGTTTTAGACGTTTGTCAGGGTTTCACGGATTTGGAGGCGGGTGGTTTTCAAAATGAGGCTCTCGCCTTAGCGCGGCGCAGGTTCGTACTAAACATTTGCAAGACTTTCACGGATTGAGGGCGGGTGGTTTTCAACATGTGGCTCTCGCCGCAGCGCGGCGCAAGTTCGTGTAAAAATTGCAAGACTTTCACGGATTACCAACATCATGCCAGAAATGGTGAAGGATTCCGGATTATGCGGGTGCAGCAATTATGTTGATTCGCTGCGTTGAGGTTCCAAGAATTGCGGTCTGGTACGATTCAGGATCCTCAAGACGCAACTGTCAGGTTAATCCGTGCCATTGGAATCTCGAGAAAATGTTTCGGCATGCTTCAGGGTCTTCAAACGGTTGTCTTCCAACGGTGCAACTCCCTCAATGGAAATGAACCGTTGTAGGGGCCTATGAAGAGGGAGCTTGGAGGAAGGGTGTATTCCAACATCGTTGATGACTCTTGGGTTTACACTGGTCCTCATCCTGCTCCTCCTTCTCCTCACTCCTTCCTCCTCCCTCCTTCCTCATCCATCCATCCTTCCTTCCTTCCTCCTTCCTCCTTACTTGTTCCTCCTTCCTCTTTCCTCCTTGCTCCTCCTCCAGTTTCCTCCTCCTCCTCCTCCTCAACATCCTCCTCCTCCTCAGCTTCCTCCCTCACCAGGGACCTGTTGGCAGGGGACTCCGGGAGGGGAGTCCTTCCTCTTTCCTCCTTCCTCCTCCTCCAGTTTCCTCCTCCTCCTCCTCCTCCTCCTCCTCCTCCTCCTCCTCCTCCTCAGCTTCCTCCCTCACCAGGGACCTGTGGGCAGGGGGCTCCGGGAGGGGAGGGCGCACTGCAGCATCATGTGGTGCATCCTGGGCTGACCACAGCATGGGCTCGACCACACGAAACCCAGCTTGGCGGCACGCACAAGGTTGGGCGCCCGAGTTATCCGGGGTAACTCGGGTCCGGGGTAACTCGGGTTTGGGTTCCCGAAAAACAAACCCGAGTTATCCCTGACCCGAGTTACCCCTGATGATTCGGGGCTCTGGACGCCCGAGTTATCCGGGGTAACTCGGGTCCGGGGTAACTCGGGTTTGGATTCCCGAAAAACGAACCCGAGTTATCCCTGACCCGAGTTACCCCTGATGATTCGGGGCTCTGACAAGGGGGTAGGGGGAGGGGGGAAGGCTTCTTAGAAGGAGGCTGCTTCTTAGAAGGCGCCAGCCTTACATGCACAGAGAAGGCCTGCGCCTTCTAAGAAGCGGGGGTGCTTCTAAGAAGCCTTCCCCCCTTTTCCTACCCCCCTCTGCGCGTGGCCGACATTGCTGGATCTTGGGCTGACTACAGTAGGAGCTCGACCACACGACCCTTCCATAAGAAACCCAACCCTGAGACCCCAGGCCGTCCATTGATTTTGGTGTGGGAGCGTCAAGCTTCCCACAGGAAAAAATCAAAACCCAAGACACCCAGGGCACCCTGCAGGCAAGCAGGTTGCTTCTTGGCATGGGATTCCACTGTATGGTCCTCACCCTGTGACCAGAAGGAAAATCGTAATTTCATCTCTGTGGGTTTTCCTTGTGATTTCGCCCTTGGTTTTCCTAGAAGAGTTAGGTGGAAGCACTGGGAAAGCGCCTCTGCGCGAAGGACGCGAATGGCGAATTTTCTGACGCCTCGGCTCTAGGCGTCCAGAGGCGGCCTAGACTAGTCCTTGACAAACTGTTTTCAGGGCTCCGTCTCATCTCATCTCATCTCATCTCGTCTCGTCTCGTCTCATCTCATCTCATCTCCTCCCTCTCCGCCCTCCTTCGTCCGAGGCCAGGACTGGGACAAACTCGGACCCAGACAAATTTTGGGAATCTCTGAGATCTGGAGGCCCCGGAGGATGCAGCGGGCGCCGCGGCCAGCCCAGAGCGCTCAGGAGCGATCTGGCCCCGCGCGAATCCTCCTCCCCCCGTTCTCCCTCCCGCGTCCTCCTCCGTCCTCCCTCCCCCGTCCTCCCAAGGCCGCCGCCTGCCGACCCCTTCGCGTACCCTGCGGTCTCGTCGACCGCGCGGGTGTACAGGAAATCGCCGTCGAACGTGACGATGCTGGCGATGCTGGCCGCGCTGTCGCGCCTGGCGCCCGCGTCCGTGCCCCCACTGCCGTTGCCTCTCGTCGTCGTCGCCGCCGCCGTCGTCGTCGACGCCGTCGTCGTCGTCGTCGTCGTTGACGTCGACGTCGTCGTCGTCGATCTCCAGCTCGTACTGCTCCTCTTCCTCCTCCTCCTCCTGCTCTTCCACCACCACCTCCTCCTCCTCCTAATCCTCCTCATCATCACCATCACCATCACCATCACCATCACCACCACCACCATCACAATTACCATCACCATCACCATCATCGCCATCATAATCAAAAGCAGCAACCTTATCATCGGCATCCTCGTCCTCATCATCATCATCAGCATCAGCAGCACCATCACCATCACCATCATCATCATCATCATCATCATAATCATCATCATCGTCATCATCAGCATCATCGTCATCATCACCATCATCACCATCACCATCACCATCACCATCATCATCCATCAGCATCATCATCATCATCACCATCATCATCGTCATCATCATCATCCGCATCCGCATCCGCATCCTCATCCTCATCCGCATCCTCATCCTCATCCTCCTCATCACCAGCGTCCCCATCCTCATCAACACTATCATCCTAGTAAGTATGATCATCATCCTCCCTAATGCTCATCCTCATGTTATCATCCTCCTCTTCCTCCGCACCATCATCGTCAACATCAACATCATCATCATCATCATCATCATCATCAGCAGCATCGGCACCAGCATCAGCATCATGATCATCATCCTCATCATCACCACCATCATCATCATCACCACCATCACCATCACCATCACCATCATCATCATCATCGTCATCATCATCATCATCAACAGCATCATCAACATCAACATCAACATCAACATCATCATCATCATCAGCATCATCAACATGATCATCATCATCATCATCATCACCATCATCATCAGCATCATCAACATCAACATCAACATCAACATCATCATCATCATTATCATCATCAACATGATCATCATCATCACCACCATCATCATCATCACCATCACCATTACCATCACCATCACCATCACCATCACCATCACCATCATCATCATCATCATCATCATCATCATCACACCAACTGCTGGGGCGGTTGGGGTGCAGGCCTACTTGCGATCCTCCCGCGCAATACCGCCTGTGCTGAGACCAGCGCCCGCCGCAATAACGCCCGCCGCCGCCGAGGCTGCGTGGCACCACTGGGCGCGCTTGCGCCGCGCGCAGGCTGGGCTCCTGCTGCACGCCTGGCATCGGCGGGCGAGCCCCCTCGGCTCGCCTCCCGCCTCGAGGACGCGAGGCGCTGGCTGGACGAGCACCACGACTCGCAGGCTCCAGCCGTGGCGCAGCGGTCCACCGGCGATTGGCGAGGCAAGTCCTGCACGAACTGCCGGGGCGTGGCCTGGGTCAACGAGGTGCGAGACGTGTGGCATCGCCAAGGCGCAGTGCCTCGGCGAGCTGGCACGTGCCTCGGTAGCCTTCGGCCTCGACCGCGGGCGCGAGGCAGATCGCCGAGCTCAACGAGAAGATCGTGGGGCTGGAGAGGGCGCTCAGGGTCAACGACGAGGGCGAGCGCCATGGTGAGGGGCCTCCCCCTGCGGGCGCAGGAAGCCGAGCTCGCGGAGGTCCTCGAACAGCTCCGCGGGGTCAAGGGCGCGGAGCAGCTCGTCGGCCAGAAGGAGGAGCTCATCAAGGAGGTCCGAGCCAAGCGGCTGGGCCTCCAGGCATGTGGGCAACCAGATTCAGACCTCGGATGCCCAGATCGCCACGCGGGAGGAGGCCATCGCCCGCCCCGCCAACCAGCGGGGCGTGCTGCTTGCCGAGAGCGTCGAGAAGCAGACCAAGGCCGCTGCGTTGGAGCAGGAAGTGGCCCATGCGCAGCGCGAGATCGCGGAGCTCGAGCAGCAGCGTGCGGTGGCGGCCCAGGCGGTCCGCGCGCACGCTGCTGCCCGGGGAGCCCGCAAGATGCGGCTCTGCCGCTCCAGGGATTCCTGGACGCCTGCGAGCCTATCGGGAAGCTGGCCGCCAAGCACGGAGGGCAGGAGCAGCTCCGGGCGTGGGTGCCCAGGATGACCTCTCTCCGGGACGCCCTCCAGGAGGCTGCCCGGGCAACGGGCCCGGGCTCCCGGGGCTCCTGCTCTGGTGCCTGCGCAGGGCATGCTGGCGCTGGCAGGGGGAGAGAGAAGAACGAAGTAGATCTGTATCGTGGCCCTCCCACGAAACTTCCGGATGTCGTTCGGCGCCCATTGGGCGATGCTTGGAGGAAGAATAATGGCACCAACATAAACTTTCAGAGCTCCGCGACGTTGTCTAGGATCGGCGCTGGGGGTCCTGGCGGCGCCTCTGGCGCCGCCCTGGCGCGCTCCGCGCTCCAGAGAGGAGGGTGCAGCGCTGATCCAAGAAATCCGCGCGTCCTCCTCCTCGAGCGTGGCCGTGGGCGCGCCTGGGGCTCGTCTGCACTACCTAGCACAGAGGCTGCTGCCCGTCAGGCGAGCGACCTGGAAGCGAAGGGCCCTGACCACACCTGCTCTTGTGTCTGGGACGAGGGCGAGATACAAGGGCTCGAGGGCGCGCTCAAGGGCAAACGGCCTTCTCCTCCTCCGCCTCGTCCTCGTCCTCGTCCTCGTCCTCGTCCTCGTCTTCCTCCTCCTCCTCCTCCTCCTCGTCTTCCTCCTCCTCCTCCCACCGGGCTCGCGTTCCCCAAACGATGCTTGCACTGCTTGGGATTCTTAACTCCACTTCCCTTTGGAGGAACCGGGCCCGTCTACGGGCTCCGCGGCCTCGTTGCCGTCCGTCGCCGACCCATTTCTCCAAACGAAAGCCCCTCTGGGGCACCGCGGCCCCGCTCTCCTCCTTCTTGTTCCCTCTCCTCCTCCGCCTCGCGCCTCGTCCTCGTCCTCGTCCTCGTCCTCATCTTCCTCCTCCTCCTCCTCCTCCTCCTCCTCCTCCTCCCTCCTCCTCCTCCTCTTCTCCTCCTCCTCCCTTTCTCCCCCTCCCCCCTCCCCCTCCCCCTCTTCCTCCTCCTCCTCCTCCTCCTCCTCCTCCTCCTCCTCCTCCTCCTCCACGCTCAACGCACATTTCCAAAAACAATGCACACGGCGAGCCGTGCCCGTCCGTCGCCGCCCCGCACAGTTGGAAGCACACAGCTCACACCGCGCAGACAGCTCAAACAACACAGCTCATCCCACACAGCGCACGCCGCATAGCTCACGCGATGCAGCTCGCACCACATAGGTCACACAACACATCTTTCACAACATAGCTCAAGCCACACATCATACACGGCATAGCTTGCACCGCATTGCTTGCACCTGGTAGTTTTCACCTCCACAGTGCAATGATGCACTCCTTGGAACCCACGCTGGCTAACACTTTGTTTCCAACCATCCTGTGGTGTTGGGTCCTCGTTTTGAAGAGACGGCGCCCCACGTTCCTGCTCCTTCCTCCTCCCCTCCTCCCTCCTCCCTCCCCCTCATCCTTCTCCACCTCGTTCCATCACCGCCGTCATCATCACCACCATCATCATTATCATCATCATCATCATCATCATCATCATCATCATCATCATCATCATCATCACCACCATCACCATCACCATCACCATCACCATCACCATCACCATCACCATCACCATCATCATCATCATCATCATCATCATCATCATCATCATCATCATCATCATCATCATCATCAGCATCATCACACAGGTTCGTGGCCCCACAGGGAGCTCCACCGAAGGCCACAGTGGGGGGGGGTCGCATGCGTCTCCCCCACCCAGGGCAGCGCTCCGTGGCCCCATAGGGAGATCCACCGAAGGCCCCAGTGGGGGGGTCGCATGCGTCTCCCCCACCCAGGACAGCGTTTCGTGTGGCCCCATAGAGAGCTCCACCGAAGGCTCCAGTGGGGGGGGGTCGCATGCGTCTCCCCCACCCAGGACAGCGTTTCGTGGCCCCATAGGGAGCTCCACCGAAGGCCCCAGTGGGGGGGGGGGGGTCGCATGCGTCTCCCCCACCCAGGACAGCGCTTCGTGGCCCAATAGGGAGCTCCACCGAAGGCTCCAGTGTGGGGGGGGGGGGGGGTCGCATGCGTCTCCCCCACCCAGGACAGCGTTTCGTAGCCCTATGGGAGCCATTGGGGGGGGCGCATGCGTCTCCCCCAAGGACAGCGTTCCGTGGCCCCACAGGGAGCTACACCGAAGGCCTCAGTGGGGGGGGGGGGGGGGGTCGCATGCGTCTCCCCCGCCCAGGACAGCGCTTCGTGGCCGCATAGGGAGCTCCACCGAAGGCTCCAGTGGGGGGATCGCATGCGTCCCCCCCGCCCAGGACAGCGTTTCGTGGCCCCATAGCTCCACCGAAGGCCCCAGTGGGGTGGGTCGCATGCCTCCCCCACCCAGGACAGCGTTTCGTGGCCCTATGGGAGCTCCACTGAAGGCCCCATTTGGGGGGGTCGCATGCGTCTCCCCCACCCAGGACAGCGTTTCGTCGCCCGGTAGGGAGCCTCACCGAATGCGTTGCTCACAAAGAATGTGCTCACAACTGCATATGGTTGGGTCCTTCGCCAGGCTAATTTTGGTCGGTTTGATTGTTCCAAAAGCGCCGGGAGGCCACGAGACCTCGATCGTGGGCATCGGAGGCAAATCCTGGGAGGCCTTCGTCATAACAATTACGGGCTATAAAGCCCGATCAAGGGGCCATGAGGCCGAATGAGACCAAACTCTGGCCCATGGTTAAGACAGATGATGCCGCCGGATTAAGCGGGATGCAGCCGGATCAGGCCTGTTGCCGGTCACGGTTGTGTGTCCGCACGAACAAATGAGATCGACCGAGGCAGTCTGAAGCAGCGCCTGGAAGCTCGCGCGCGTGCCGTTCGCGCCACGAGCTGACTGAAAGAGCAGAGGTCGCGGAACTGATGAGCATCAACTCCGCTTCCCCTCGAGGGGGTTATAGCGATCCCATGAACGAGCCGCTGCCGACTCCAGGCAAGCCTGATGCTGCAGTGAACCTCCCAGGAGCTGCATTCTAACATGGAGGCGGCGGGCGCGGGCAAGCTCGTCGACCCCGGGGCTCGGCCGAGGCGGCGGAGGCCATGGAACTCGGCGTCGGTGCTAGCCAGGGTCTCGGTACGCCGTCCCGAGTGGTCTGGCCAGGCTCTGGGGCTGCAAACGCTGGAGGGCTTCAGGGAGAAGCCGGGGATAACCAAACATTGAATAAACATAAACTGTTGGAGGTCCGCGCAGACTTCTTGGATCAGCGCTGGACCCCCCTCCCTGGCGCGCGGAGCGCGCCAGGGGCGGCGCCGGAGGCGCTTCCAGGGGGATCCAGCGCAGATCCAAGAAATCCGCGCGGAGCACCGATAGTTTATGTTCATGCATGTGTTTCTTCTTCGAGGGGCTGCAGGTGTTGGAGGGCTTCAGGGAGGAGCTCTTCATCGGCAGGCGCTCCGCCGCGCTGCGTGAAGCCTTGGCGCAGGACGACGTCGAGACCGACACTGCCGCGGCGAGCACGCTGGACATCAGGGGCATCCGCCCCGTGTCCATTGGCGCGGGGGTGAATAAGGGGGCCGACGAGGTCTTGGCCGAGCTCGGAGTCATCGCCGTTTCCGACCAGTTGGGCTACCATCATTCGCTCGACATGAAGAACGCCGCCGCCAAGATGGCTTCACAGTCTTGGCTGCTACTACAGCAGCCCTTCGAGTCTGTCGAAGCAGACCGCCTTGCTGAGGAACAGCTCGGCGCGACAGTTGCAGGCACCGTATCTGCTTAACGATGTGATACTTGCAAGGGCCGGTACCAGACTCGACTTTGTGCTCCGCGCTCCCCTCGGGGCATTTTACAGGTTCGAGTCCGCGAAACAATCAGCCCGCGGACGTCACGGCCCACTGACCGCCGCCGCAAGGAACGAGGCAATGGCGCTGAAAAGTACGACGATGTTGGTGCGCACCCCCTTCTCACCCTGGAGCTCCGCATCCCCGCCTGCTCCTTCCTCAGGGGGATACGAGGGGAAAGAGGCGGAAGGAGCCTTCGCCGTGGGGGTCAATTATCAAATTGTTTACCTCCATGGCAAAGACGACGACGAAAACGGCGAAGACAATGCCCCGCGGCGCACGGCTGACGGCGGCACGGCTGACGGCGGCGACGATGAAAACCACCACCACCACAACGACAGCGACGACGGGGCGGCGCCGCCGCCGACGTCGACGACGACGGCTACGACGTCGCGGACGCTGCCGTTGCCGCCGCCACAGACGTGGAGCAAAACCCCTTGAGAAGCTGTCCCTGGCCTCTTCTGGAGTCCACCCTTCAGGGCCACTTTCGGTCGCGACGACAACAGCGCCCAAAAACCTTCCAGACGACGACGCCACTGCCGCCGCCAACGTTGCCGACGGCGACGCCTGCGACCACGGCGCCGCCGCCGCCGTAGGCGTCTCCGCTGGTGCCGCAGTCGTCGCCGCCTCCGCCGCTGCTGTCGTGGAAATGCAGCGGCGTGCGGCCGACGGCGCCATCGGCGGCCCCTTGTGTTCCGACGGGGCGAAAAGAGCCCCAGACCCTGTCTTTCTGCGCAATTTTTCGAGTTGGCCGAGATTGTGTTATACTCAGAACGTTTTGCGGACGCCGGCCTGCCCAGCCCGCTCCGCGAGCGTGGCACGGGGCCTGCGGTCGCGGGACCGGGATCATTCGAGCGGCATCTATCTGTGAGGGCCCCAGGGCACGAAACCTGACCGAAAACGTCCGGCCCCAACAAAGAACGACCAAATCTCTGGGGCGTGCGGCAGCGGCGGCGGCGCCGCCACCAGGGGCACGTGCGCAGCCGGCAGCGTCGCCGGCGGCATGCGACGACGAGTCGGCTACACGCAAGAGTGACCCTATAGGCAGGGGTGGCCTCGAGTGCGCGGCTCTCGGCGGGCGCGGAGAGGCAACAAAACCCGAGCGCGCAGTCCGCTGCCGTTGCACTCCGTTCGGCCATCTGGGGCCCCAGCGTGCCCGCGCCGAGGGTCACTCCGGCGGGAGGTCCCTCTGGCGCGGCGCGGCCGAGAGGGGGGCCCCCGCGCCTGCCCTGCCGCGGCATCCCCGCGTTGCTCTGCCGCCGCTCGGGCAGGCGCCCGATGCTCGGCCGGCGCTCGTCGCCCGCCTTCGGCGGCGCCTCGTCGGAGCGGGGCGCCGCCCGGCCGCTGCCGCCCGGCCGCTGCCGCCCGCTGCGCGCGCAGCCGTGGCCCGTGGCGCCGCCGACGCAGACAACGACGACGATGACGGCGACGACGATGACGACGACGACACCGACGACGACGGCGACGACGATGGCAGCCACGACCATGACGACGACGACGACGACGTAGTCGTCGGCGCCACAACCGTCGGTGGCGACGTTGAAAAAGTCGTCGGTGGCGGCACATTCGCCGACGCCGCTGTCGTCGGCGTCCTCATCGTCGTCGTCGCCGCAGGCGTAAACATTGTCGTCGTCGTCGTCGTCGTCGTCGTCGTCGTCGTCGTCGTCGTCGTCGTCGTCGTCGTCGTCGTCGTCTTCGATAAGGCCCCAGGACAGCCCCAATAGGCCCCAGAATTGCCCCAATAGAACCCCAAGGGGGCCCTGCGAAGGCCCCAATAAGCCTCCTGGAAGCTACCAGAGCGCCGGCGCATGCTGCTACGCAACCTGGGTTAAGGCATATCGCCTGGTGGTTTGTGTTTGGACGGGTTGGCGGGAATACGCGAAGCATCCCCTAATAGAAGCCATCGCCCCCAAGCCTCGCGGAACGCTACATTGCACACCCTCGGAAAATCCGAAACTGATTGCTTCGAGTGCAAGCGCGTAACCGACGGTCAGAACTCAAAACTCAAGACCGCATACAACAAACAAGACGGCATAACCCAAACATGCATCACTCTGCTAGCTCCTTTGGCTGACGCACGTTTTACAATTGCGCACGCAAGTTTCTTTGAAAAACACGGATGAGGTCGAAGGCGCGCGTGCATTTGTCACCAGCAAAAAAATGTCGAGACGGAGCCATACACGATGCGATTCCAGATTTGGCACGAGCGACTTCGCTGAAATATGCCTGGACGTGGGCAAAGATAACTAAGATATTTAGGATGTATCGCACAAGTGGCCCATACATGCTGTTCAGGAGCTCGCGCGAAGCTGGGCGCAGACTCAATCGCGTAAAGAAGATTCGCGCACGATGGGATCCGGGCAGAGTGCGCCCAGGCGGCCCGCAAGAGGCCGCCGGCTCGTCGAGAGCCGAAGGCGGGCCGCTGCTTGGCCCCCGCGGCGGAGGCGGCCAGCGGCGCACGGTCCTCGGTCTCCGTCTCCGTCGCAAGTGCGAGCGCGCACTTGCGCCGAGCGGTCTGGGACTCAGGCGCTCGCCTACGCGGCTCTCTACGAAATTTCCGCTCGCGCCCTCTGTGAGGGGGCGAGGCCTGCTCCCGCTGGCCAATGGGTCTGCGCGTGCCGCCCCCAGAGACAATGGAACTCACGGATGCCCATGTCCGAGATTGCGCGCAGTGGCCCCGCCCTTCATAGACCTAGTAGCCCAGGTAGCTCGCGGCCTGAACCCCGCGAGGCAGGCGCCTCCAAGCTGCGGAGAGCGCGGCGCGGCCATGATCATCTGCGACGGCGGCGGAGGCGCCCAGCTGGCGGGTGCACTCTCGTGCCCCGTTGCCGACGCCTCGGACTGGGGAATTGCCGCGGCCGGCGCCGTGCTTCGACGGCGCATCGGCGCCGCCGATGCGGGGGCGTCTCCCCCGCGCGGTTAGTCCAAGCACCTGGGTCAACGATCGCGCTGAGCTCACCGGCGGTCAGCTGCGCGCGGCTGCGGCATGCCGCCGCAGCGGACTCGTCGGCGGGGCCCTTGGCGAGCCACCAGGGGTGCTTGCTACATCGACGTTACCACCTTGTGGCGGGCCTCGCGGCGACTGCCGCCCCAGCGCGGGCGTCGGCGCGCTCGCAAGGTCAAGGCGCCGGCGAGGCAATTCGTCCGCGGGCATGCTGGGCGAGGCGGGGAAGCCACGTGGATGCGCGTGACCTCTCGCGCCACCAGATTATGTCTGCACGCTGGGACATGTGAGAATGATGCCAGCATCTGGTCGCGTCGACGATGGGCCTCAAAGGCCCAGAGCGGAGGGTCGCCGAGATTCACGGCGGCCCAGCCTCGGCGCGGCCCCGATGGAATTCGCGACCGCGCTGAGCGGCGAACATCAGAATTGGCGCGATCGTCCAAGCAAATGCCGCGCAATGTCTTCATCCCCCTCAATGCCGGCGACTTCTGGTTCGGATCGTAGATCCACGGGCAGAGGTGGAGGGGCTGCTGTCGGCGGTCCAGTCGCGGCCGGGTCGAGCATCCGCCGCGCCCGCTCACGGCGGGATTCGCTGCGCTTTTCCATCTGAACATCATGGCAGCGCGTTCTGCCTCCGAGACAAGGCAGTAAGTCGCGCCGTGATCTCAGGGACTAAGTCGCATGCGACGTTGGTGGTGATGTCTGAGGTCGGCATCTCGGCGAGGTGCGCATCGCCGCGGCTTCGAAACCTGGCTGGCGCGGCGGCTTGCGCAAGCTGGCCCTGCCCGAGCCTGGCTCTGCTAAATCGGCCGTGGCGTAGAATGGTGACCCGCTGGTCGCCGGGGGCCGCGAGCTACCCTGTCGGGCGAGTGGGTGCCCCCGCGCTGCGCTGCTGGTCTTTGACCGCGAGCTCGCGGGCGCCCCCTGGGACCGACGTCCGAGGAGCGGCGCGGGTCCCCGGGCGCCGGGCCCGACGGCGCCGCCGATTCCGGGGCTGCGGAGACAGCGCCAGGGAACGGCGGCAGCACTAGAAGTAATGGTCGTAACGTAGGCGCAGTGACGTGGAATATCTGAGAAGCAGGCGGCGCGGCGGGCGCGCCGGCGCGCGCGTAGCTCTGGACTGTGGTCAGCGACGCAGCAGACCAGGAGCCTCGGATAGACTCAGGCACGCGCGGGGCAGATTCGGCGACCGCGACGGCAGCGCCGGAAATCCCAATGGGAGGCCCGGCATTCAAGGTGCCGCGCTAGAGCCCCGGGACAGCGCAGCCTCCTAAACTCGAGCCTCTTCCCTGGGCGCCTGAACGTCCAGAGCCGCCCCATAGGCGTTCAGCTCTGAGGCGGATTTCCGATCCGCACATGCCGCTCGCCATCGCTGTGCCGTCGCACTCTCGAAGTTCTTCTTGCGGCCTTTGCCTCTGCCGCGGGCACGTTGGCAGTCGCCTTCGATTTTGCCTTTGCGTCCGAAGGAGACGCCGTCGGCTCGGTCGGTGGTCAGCTCGGCAAGGAAACTGTAGCTCGATGCACTCTTGTACTTGCCATTGCAGTTCTTGGGGAATGCTCGTCAATCTTCTTGATCAACCTGCTGGCTCTCGTTTTGTTCTGGCTGGCTTGTTTTCGCGGCGTCGCCACAGGCGCTTCCGATGTTTCTCCTGTCGCAAAAGTTTGGCACCGAGCTGAGTTGGGGATTGGCCTGGCCGCCTCTGAACTGATCCGATGATCAGTCGACGGTAATTTCTGGGGTCTTGGTTGGCGTTGGAACTGGCACCGCTCGCATATTCAAGGTCGGCCCGCGCTTCGCCGGCACACGCGGCGGCGCGATGCGCGGCCTGCGGCGGCGCGACGCTCTGCTGAGAGCTGTCGGCGCATGCGAAGGCACCTCCAGTACCTGGGAGCTCGGCAACGCTAGCGGCCGGAGGGCGAAGCCATTGTGAGTGCCAAAGGTCCTCTGCGGTTGCGTCGCTACTTTGGTCGTTGGTCATGCCTGCGAAGTCTCCAAAGGATGGCGGTGAAGGGAGGGCGCTGGCGATGTCGCTGGGCGTGCGCTCCACGATGTGACCAGCGCGCATGGGCACATTCTTGAGGCTGTTGGAACTCATGCTCTGCTGCTGGATATCCGTTGCTGTAGGGCTGCAGCCGCGTCGTGGCCTGGCTGGCGGTAGAGCCGTTCGCTCGGAGGAGCAGCCAGCTATAGCTTTCCCACGACATCGCAGCTCCACTGTGTGCGCTGGTCGGAACCAGCGTGAGGAACCGCAAGCGACGCCTTTTGAAATCAAATAACTCCAAGAAATCATGCAGGCGCGACTATTCATCCCGTGGTCCGAACTAGGTCGCGAATTTCGCGGTGAAGTAGGTGACGGCGTCTTTTGGCTGTCCGATGGTATATCCTCCTTCTGTCGTCTCTGTGGACGGAATAGAACGTGTACACCCACGAGTGGCGGCGCCAAAGCTCAGGATGGTGGCGACGTGTTGTTGCGCGCCGTCCATGTCTGCGGCGCGTACGCCCGCAGGCGAGTAAATACTGCACCCTGTGGCGGGACGGGTAGGCCGATTCCCCTTCGCGTGACCCAAACATTGGCTGGCGGCATGAGATGCCGCCCCTGCCGCAAACTCCGTTTTGGTGTCCGGCTCCTCCAGGCATCATCTGGACAAGCCAAAACAAGGCGACCGCTGGGGGGACGAGGATCCACTGCCCAATAGTGCCAAGCGGGGGATCCTATGGACAAATCCGCCGCGATTGCTACGCAGGCGCCTTGGCACTCGGGCATGTGGGGGCGGAAACCATCTGGACATTTGGTGCAGCCGCAGTAATGCTGAAACCCTTGATGATGTGCAAAGGCGATGAAGCCGTAAATCAGCTTGAAGCCACGTGACATGCGCAGTGGCTCACTGAAACGCAGGCCAATACGGTCGCGCTTTGTTGTCACCCAGGCACTGGCCCTGCTGAGCGGTATAACAATTTCGGTTTACTGCCAAGTGCTGGGAAGTTGTGATGGTAAGGGGGCCGAGGCACCGTTGCCTCTTCAGGCCGACGTCGGACTACTCCTACACAAGGCCATTGTCCCCCCAAGAAACGGTACATTCACAAGGTCACTTGCGGTCGTTGGAGCTGGCCTCGTCGCGCCTGTGTGGGTTGGTCGAATTACCATGAACTACCGTGAGGACTGCAGAACAACCAGAAGCACAGACTGTTCGAGGAATGGGGGGTGGTACCAATGCGGATTCTGAGGGAAACGCGACAAACGCGCATACACATACCAATACGCGCGTCTTCCGTGAATCGCAAGCGGGGAAAGCTCACAGCTTCGTTACCAACGACAACTGCGGGGGCTAATGGCGGGAAAGCAGGCACGGCGGCGATAAGCGAATCATGTCTTATCCAATGGAATACGCAGAGGGCGAGTCGTGGAGGAGGAGAGGAGACAAGGAGGGAGGGGAGAAGAGCAGGAGAGGGAGGATGCGGAGGAGTGTCTGAGATAAGCATCCGCGCAGCGTGATGACGCCGAAAACGCCGACGACGCCGGCGCCGACGATGCCACCGGACGGCGCCGACGATGCCGCCGACGATCACACCTCCGACGCCGCTAACAAAGGCGCCGACGACGACGACGCCGAAACTGGGGCTGACGACAACGACTGTGACGGCGACATCGCCGTCGCCGTTGCGGGGGTGAGGGGGAATGATAGGAGAGAACCATCTCAGGGGGGGAACATCTACCCGGAACTGGCGATACATCGCCGTAGCGCATCAAACAAATCCTGGGCGGGGTGGGCTAGCAAGCCCATGTCGGCGATGACCTGCTCATGCAATGACAATGATCAGGGGATGCCTGACCTCAAAACCAGATAATTCGACGAGCTCGCCCAGCAATGAAGAACAAGGGGGCCACATACGGTACCTTTGTCAACACTGGCCAATCGACCAGGACGCTCGTACCACGAAGCCGCAAGGTACAAAACGTGACAGACATCTTGATGCAGACCACGACCCCATGGCCAGCCTGCTTGACTAGAAGGAAATAAAACGCCATAAACATGAACTTTTGGCGCTCCGCGCAGATTTCTTGGATCAGCGCCGGACCCCCCTCCCTGGCGCGCGGAGCGCGCCAGGGGCGGTGCTGGAGGCGCCGCCAGGGGGGGGGCGCAGCGCGGATCCAAGAAATCCGCACAGAGCGCCACAAGTGTATGTTTATGGCGCTTGTTCTTCTTCGATCCGCGGCTCCCGATAACGACGAGGGAGGAGGCGAAGAGGAAGGTAGCGACGACCTGTGAGCACCTTCCCCCCGAGTAGCTCGGGTCGGGCGAAAAGGGGGGATAGCAAAGGGGGAGCTTGAGAATCAGCTCACGTAGCTGATTTTCCCGGCGCCTCCCGGCGCCGGAAGCGGCGATGCATCGAGGAATGGGCCCCTCGGCGAGGCCGAAACGGGCTGCATGCAGCGAATTTCGTGACCCCCCCCCCTTTTCCCAAAATCCCCCCCTTTCGCCCGGCCCCAGTGTAGCGCCGCCCCCGGGGCGCGGAGCAGATTTCGCCGCCGCCCGGGGTGCCGGCGCGTCGTCGTCGTCCAGCCCGGAGCCGTCGTCCAGCCCGGAGCCCTGCGGCGGGCGGCGGGGGCAGGGGCCAGGGGAGGGGCCAGGGGAGGAGAAGGGGCCAGGGGAGGAGAAGGGGCCAGGGCGGCGGGGGCAGGGGCCAGGGGAGGGGGCAGGGGCCAGGGGAGGAGGAGGCGCCAGGGGAGGCGAATGGGGCAAAGGGCGGCGAGGGCAGGGGAGGGAGGGAGGGCGGGATGCGCGGCAGGGGTGCAAGGGCCTCCGTGGACGCCCCTGGCGAGGCTCTTCGAGCGGGGCTGGCCATCGCGAGTAGCTGAGCACAGGCCGGAGGTGCCCGAAGAGCCAAGGATACAAAGGGTACCCTCGGGAAGCCGATCTCATCCCAACTATCAGGAGGTGACTGCAGCGAGAGGGAGGGAGTCTTCCTTGGGATCGACGACTCACGGTGTCTGTGTTTCTCCCCCTCCTGACTGGCGAGGGAGCGAGGAGGGCCCACCGACGCACCACCACCACCACCACCACTTCTGAAGGGGCCCCAGGACACACAAATAAATACACACAAGTAAAACGATTCCCCATGTTTTCCTATATTTTCTGGGTTTCTGTCTTCTCCCCCACTTCCCACATTTTCCCATCTTTTCTGGGGAACCGAAGATTCATTGTGTCTGTGTGCTTTTTCCTCTCCCGAACTTCTGCCCAGGGCCACCCTGGACCCCGGCGGGCTGCATACGCCCGCCTGGCCGAGGCCAGGAAGGGCATGTATGCCATCCGGGGGCCCAGGGATCGCCCTGGCCCGGCGCGGAGGCGGCGCTCGGGCAGAGCAAGCTAGGGCTCCCAACTTCGCGCTTCGCGCTGCGCGAAGCGCGAAGCGCGAATAACTTCGCGCTCTCGCGCCGCCCTCCTAAAGGGAGAATAGGAGGAACGAGGACCGCGAAGCGCGAAGCGCGAATAACTTCGCGCCCTCGAGGGAGCCCTTGACTCTCCCCCCGCCCCCCTGGCGCCAGGGACGGCGCCAGAGGCGCCGCCGGGGGGGCCAGCGCAAATCCAAAAAGTCCGCGCGGACCTTCGAGACCCGACGTTCCGCATCAGGGTACTGTTCGAACGGGTGCATCCAGCGGACGTTGCCCCCAGGGGTGGACCGAAATAGCAAAACACCCTTTAGCGAGACGGCCGTGGACCAGACCCGGCGGCCGCAGGCCCAAAACACAGTGTGGCCGCAACACCGCCTCGAGAACCGGAACAGGACAATGGCGCTGACGTCCCACTACCGCTACTCCCCGGACCCCTCCCGGGGTGCTGTCTGGCCATGATTCCGAGGCGAATCCAGCCGTGGCAACGAGGGCCTGCCAGGCGGCCCCAAAAAGGATCAAACGGATGGAGGGTAGCGGTATCGGTACATGATCCTCCTCTGGCTCATCCTGGTGCGACTCCTTGCCATCACGGAAGCCCGCCAACGTCTGGTGGGGGTCCCAGAACGGTGCGGTGACATACGGTGCGGTGACCTCGAAATCCCTAAAAGCCTCACCGCACGGTCCGTCGCCGCACTGTTTTGGGACCGTGGAGGCCCTAATCGCCCGAGACGTCCTCGGGGAACGACTTTACAGTCAAGTTCGATTGGAGAAGACACCCACAGAGGTGTGGACCAATCCCCTCGGACAGATGTTTCATCCAGAATCGTTGCTCGGTGGTCCTGGCCCCGGTTTCAGCACCTCAGCCCTGGGTCGCAGAACGCCCTAGAGACGCTGCCAGAGGCGGCGCCAGTGTGCTGAGACCGCCCTGGAGAAATCGGGGGGGATACCCAACACGGGATATGAATAAGCATACAGTACATCGTGGAGGTGCCCACGCGTTGCGCGACGACAAGGGAGACCTGCACGGTTTCCCCCGGGGCCGTAGGCGACCCGATGAGGAGGAGGAGGAGGAGGAGGCGGAGGAGGAGGAGGAGGAGGAGGAGGAGGAGGAGGAGGGGGAGGGGAGGAGGATATACAGAATAAAGAGGAGGAGGTAGGAGGCGGAGGACGAGGCGGAGGAGGGAGGAGGAGGAGGAGGAGGAGGAGGAGGAGAGGAGGAGGAGGAGGAGGAGGAGGAGCAGGAGGAGGAGGACGGGTCGCCTAAGCCCTTCGGAGAAAACCTCCAGGAACACCAGCACGATTATCGCCAAGGGGCTCGCGCGCGCTAGGCGCTCCCGCCGCGGGCGGCCTGCAGGAATTGCAGAGCGCTTCGGAGCGCCGATGGCCTGTTGAGTCCAGCTGAGACTTCTCGGGGGGCCAATCGCGGCCAGCCAGGACTGCACGGTTTCCCCCAGGGCCGTAGGCGACCCGAGGAGGAGGAGGAGGATGAGGTGGAGGAGGACGAGGAGGAGGTGGATGAGGAACAGGGGGGGGGGAGGAGGAGATGGAGGAGGAGATGGAGGAGGAGGAAGAGGAGGAGGATGAGGAGGAAGAGGAGAAGGAGGGGGAGGAGGAGGACGGGTCGCCTAAGCCCTTCGGAGAAACCCTCCAGCCAGGACCTTTTGGTGTGGGGGGGGGGGGCCTGAGCGCAGCCCGACGCCTTACCACTGGAGGCCTCCTAGATCGGGTCCGCAAAGAGGGGTCGCACCGTTGCACCGCATCGCCGATGCGTCGGCGACGTCGGCATGGAGAAAACCGGGCTCCACATCAAGCCATATCGCTGATGCATCTCTGATGCATCGGCGATGTATCGGCGATGCGGCGCGAACCTCTGACCCCATCTACTCCGACCCCACCTGGTTCGGACGCCCGAAACGCGTACGAAAAATGGGTACGATGCCCAGCAGTAAACGTTGTCGAAAACCGACAGCGGCCGCTGTTGACCAGGAGGACCCCTGTCTCAAATGGACAATGGGCCCAGCGACGCCAACAGCAAACCCCGCTCAGAATGAACAAGAACCGCTGTGGGACTTTGTACCCATTGTTTCAGTTCTCATTTGGATCGTCCCGATCTGGGAGATTTAGAGAACCACTCCGAGAGGCCCCCTAGATGGGGTCCGAGTAGATAGGGTCGGAAGATCGCGCCGCATCGCCGGTGTATCAACGATGTATCGGCGATGCATCGCTGATGCTTCGGCGACGTCGGCGGTGCATCGGCGACGCCAGCGCGGAGAAAGTCGGGCTCCACATCGAGCAGCACCGCCGATGCATCGGCGATCCAGCGCGATCCTCTGACCCTCTCTACTCGGACCCCGCGTGGGAGGCCCAGTGGATCAACTACAGCACGGATGTGCCCCAAAACTGCTGCTCCGTCGAATCCTCTCGTGCATCTACGGGGCGGACGGAGGAACTAATTTGGGGGTGAATGCGTTCTGCAGTCGAAACTCCGCTCCCTCCATTTTCTTCCTGAGCTCTGGGCGCGCTGGTGCGCCCGCGCGGCCTCGAGAGCGCAAAAGCCCCGCGGCGGCGGGCGATGCTCCGAGCACAGGCGGGGCGTGCCTCGCGCGCGCACAAGCGGCACGGGCGCACATGCAGGGCATCCCGAGGCCCGCCGGGCCCCCCCCCCCAAGCCGACGCCAGGACGCAGATAACATCGGGTGGGGGTAGATCGGGGATCTCTGACATCCGGCGGCTCTGGAGGCTAGGTCTCGGGAGCCGCGGTCTTCCCAGAGCGGTCTGCAACGCTAGGAGAGCGTTCCGGAACGTTCTGGAACGCCGGCTGGCTCCCCTCCTCTCGGGCGACGAGGTCTGCATACCCGAACGAACTCGCGTCGTGAACAAATTCACGACGGGAATGTTTTGCCTCTGGGGCCCGCCCCAAAGCCGCCAAAGAACGACTCGGGATGAAAAGCTGGCCCTGGAGAGGGATCGGGACTTCCCCAGACCCCGTGCTGAAAAACAAGACATCGGATGTCTGAGTGCGTTATGCGCATATCTATTATTGAATGGATGCGCGCGTATATACCTATATGAATACACACTGGAACCACGCGCGGGCTTCGTGCGCTTAGGTTCTAGCAAGCACCCGCCCATGACAAACTCACAATTGAAACATGCACGCACGTACTCAAACATGAAGGCCCTAAATTGAAAAAAGACCGCGAAGGCAGACCGAGCATTACCACAAGAGGTACGCCCAAACAGACTCAACGCGACGCAATGCAGAACCGTGAAGAGCCAAGAAAGTACTTGAACATTGTTGTAGCGGTAGCTAAAAAAACATGCTAAGCGGATGCGACAAGCCATTGTAATGCCAAAAGACCTAACAGATCAAGAAACAGTTGGGACAGCAATTGCAATGGCATCCAGTGTAAAGTCAGACACAGCAGACAAGGCAAGTACAATCCAAAACAATGCAATTCGATCGAACGCAAGAAATGAGACGAACCCGACACTCCAGGGAACGTGAAGTTCGGATAGCGTAGGGATGGAGAATCCGACGGAAGAACCCCTAACCCGGGATGGAGGTCGTAAGTGCCACCATGCCCCCCTGCACAGAGGAAGAGTTAGAGAAGGAAGAACGAGGAGGGAAGCAGGAAGGAGGACTGAGAAGACGGGCCGCCGCAGGGATGAAAAAAGAGGGGCGGCGGAAAGAGGAATAGAGGGAGAAGAAAAAGGAGGGCAAGATGGAGTAGCGAAAAGGAAGGAGAAAGGAGGTGACAAGACAAGAGAGGTACGATCGAGAAGGGAGGGAGGGAGCAGGACCAACGGAGGAACGAAGAGGCTCTCGTGTGCTCTCGTGGACTCGCGGGTCCGTGTCTAGAGAACACGTTGGAACATAATTCGCTGGGTCTACCTATACGACCACCCTTCGGGTGATAAGGAGGTTCGGGGGGGGAGGAACCAACGTCTCACTCGATCGCTCTCACTATCGATCTCACTATCGATCTCACTATCAGTCTCGCTCGATCGATCTCACTCGATCGATCTCACAATCGTTCTCACTCGATCTATTTCATCCGATCGATCTCACAATCGAACTGACTATCGATCTCACAATCGATCTAACATTTGTTCATTTGTTCTCATTATCGATCCCACAATCGATCTCACATTCGGTCGCACTATCGATCCCACTATCGATATCACAATCGATCT